TTACACGATTACGTACAGAAACGTTCTGACGAATGGACGTAAATCTCACTGATTTTCGTGGAGGACAACACTCTCTCTCTGTATTGCGATTGCTAGAGAATCAAGAGACACGCCTTGCCGATAAATTAGTTTGAAGTGTGTATGCCAGTTAGTAGAAACATGAAATATAAACGAGTTCTTTCTTCCCCGCAGACGGTGTCGACAAAGTAATTGGCACACAGTCGTTCAATAAAAGCTTAGTTGTTCGAAGCGTTTCATGTTCCAATGCACGTGACAATTAGAAGAAAAGACCAAGATACAAATGTCTTGACGAAGATACAAATTTCTAGGAAGATAATTCTTTTTAATAGTTTCGTAATTGAGGCGTTTTATTTAATTGCCTAAATATATATAATTAAGTACATGATGACTTTTTTTTTACCACATACGATGGATCGTTTGTACTCTTCAGTTTAATTTTTATTATTTTCACAAGTATATCATACAAAAATTATTAAGTAATTTTTACATTTAAAAAAAATAAATATTGTAAAACTTTATTAAAAATATGATATACTTGTTTCATTAATACTGTTATTAAATTTTATAATTTTTTCAATGCATAATTGAATAAATAAGATTCGTTGATAATAATATTGTTAATTAACATTAAACGTATTAAATAATGCATAACAAGAAATATCTTTAATATTTTTATTTTTAATACTTTAATATCTTTTTGCTCGACGTCAATCCATTCGTGTTCACAATAACAAAATGCAATTCCCGACACGTCACTTCTAAATCGTCTTGTGTATGGTACAAAAGACAAATATCTTATCTGGCAGTTTGTAAATCGCGTCAGCGAATATTCATGCGATGTCACCGCGCGATTTACATTCATTTTGCCCGCTGGCGAATTATTAACACGGCATCTTCTCGGCATCTGCTGATCGATATTAGCAAATTTTCTCGTGAATTTTCCGAGTGCCACACAAGTATTCGCATTTTCACTTCCGCTCTTGAAATTTCATAAAGAATTAAGCCAGAAGGAAATAGCTTCATCTTTCTGAAGAAATTATACCGCTCAATCTCATGCCAGAATTCTACGACATTATTGCTCCGCAGATTGCTAACGTCCTGGAGCTACTCGTGAATCTTAAGCTTCGATTAACGTGTCATTATGCCTTTTTTTACACTCACAATTTGTATAATAATTGAAAATAAATGAAATAAACTCTGATAATATCAATCAGAATTTCAGTCATAATTGAATATCTAATTATTTAAACTGGAATTCTGATTGATATGATTAGAATTATTGATTCGTACATTCAATTTTTCAGTGTAATTTACTATAATACTGAGTATTATAATAAATTAGACAAAAATAAGAAAATATTAGGTATTATATCATGAACTTCTCAAGCTTCTTCTATCCTCAATCCTGCACTTTGCATGTAACATCATTTTACTAGACATTGTTTTACGAACAATTAAAGAATTTTTGTTTTATTGTATAGTTGGCGCCCCTCAATTTTTGAAAAAATTAACTTTCTATTAGGTGTTGGAATTAATTCGTAGCGTTTTTTAATGAAAGAATGTTATTTATTTCACATGAGCATTAAAAAATACATTAATGAAAGTACTTCCCATCACTTGTAAAACGCTACGAATTAATTCCAACACCTAATATAATTCATCCGATTATTTGACGATAACTTCCTAAACATACGGTACATAAACATTTCAACTGAATGTTCAATTATTCCGTCCTGTAGATATTAGGTCACTATCAACTATTTACTAATTTCACTTCACTAGATTAAAACATGAGATACTAATTAATTACATTAAAAATTTGTAATTACATGCATCAAACATTAATTAACTCATTGTCAGAGATAATTATTCTAACACTGCAAATCAATACTATTAATCAATAATAGGTTCAACTTATTACCGCACAATAATGTCAATTAATTTCTTCTCGCAGAAGAGTTGCGAAAGGAAAATGATGCAAATAAATGTTTTCGATTATATAAAATCTCGAGGGATTAAAACGAGAAGATAGAATTAACTCCAAGAAAACGCTACGACGGGAAACAGCATCAATCTCTTTTTTTCTTCGTACCTCGCAAAGAGTATACAAGACTAATAATTTCTAAACTATCCTCGAACGACTCTGTGAAGCTAACCGTTTATCATTGTGGACACATTCGGAACGGGAATAAAAGGGCGATTTTCCAAAAGGAGCTTTCCCAAGGGCAACGGCCCAATGAAGATCGGACGAAGAAGAGCAGTAGTCAAGATTGGCGAAAATATCGTGGAAATAATGCCGAGCGTGCGCGTCATCGCGCGTGAAATATGAAGCGAAAGGATTTATAACACGCGTCACTTCGTGGCCCGATTTACCGAGTACATATAACGCGACGTAACTGCACTTTTTCCGGGGCATCATACACGCAGCTTTCCATTTCCCATTCCCATCCCTTCTCTTGCATGAAATGCGTTCCCGTCCATCTGGTTAATGCAATGCCTCTCGTCCGCGTAAAGCTGCTTGACGCTCGAATCAATCCAATCGATACGGTTCTCGTTTGCGGCTTACGTAATTCGAGATAGGTCGTCGACGGTAACTCGATTTTATGGAAAAAATGATTCTGTTAAAATAGTTAAAAATTTAGCTCTATACACTATTAAATTTATAACGTTCAATTATATCAACACAATTTGAGTTATTTTTAATAAGATAATATCAGATTTACTTCATTCTCGATCGTTCCTTTAACAACAATTCTATATATCATATTAGCTCATGGATGTATGTACGTATAAACTGGAGTTAACTCACTTACTATCCATGGATGCAAACTTCGCTAAAAAAATTGACTAGTAGCATGAACATCCTTTTCATCGATGTACACGGAAGTTACTTCTCGGGCTGCCGTAGCTGATGCAAATAACATGGGAATGGATGGCGGTGTGGGAGCAACTCTTCAACGAGACAGATTAACATTGTCGATACGTCGTCGATGTCGATCAATGTTCGGGACACGGAAACGCATTTGTCGTATATCTGTTAGCGGAGTGACGTTCTACGACCAACGGTCGTAGTTACTAGTTGCTCCGCACGATACTACAAGATATATTCAGAAACATTAGATTGACCAGAATATTTATATATTTAAAAAATAGATTTTTTTATAATTCAATATTTTGCGTTAATCCATTTTTGTATCAATAACAATGGATATTTTCGATGTTTTGTATAATAAACTTAAAAGAAATTCTTATGACATAATAAATAGAAAGTTGGTACATTTCTTATTATTCATTTTTTATTGTAATAAGAAAAAGATTGAAAAACTAAAAATATTAATGAACATTTTTGCATTCTACTTATTCTATTAATTTCGAAAATTTACAATTTGTATTAAGCCTAATAAATAATGGATATTCTCTATATTTAATATTTAATCAAGTTGTCTCAAAAATTTTTTATTTGTGAATGATTTTGTACATTTAATTGTTCACTATGCAAATCAACATACATAAATAATGCTGACTCTCATAGATTTTCATTATTATTACTTTATTACTTTGATTCATTTGATAGTTATCGGTGCTTTGGATATGTATTAGATTTCGGTTATCTATCGCTCTGTTATACACATATCGATGTAAAATTTGGAAACTACGTGCTTCTATTTGGACCAACGTGACTAGTCCGAACCGAATAAATGTGGCGAGTGAATTGAATCAAAATTATTAATATATAACAACTTGATTCCATCACTCGCTGTTCTAATTCTCGTTGATGCCGCAGTGATGTGTATCAACCATAGATCCGACAAATACGACGTAACTTGTTAGAAAGCTCTTTGCCTCCATTATTCTCATCATTTGGCTTTTGTTCTCCCTTCCATAATGGCTCTCTTCTCCTTTGAGCTAATAATGAGTGAACATGATCCACATTAGAAAGCCCTGCCGCTTCAAATGCGGCGCAGTCAAGTACATTGCGAGTAAGCTCTCATCTTGTTCTCCATCTCGTTGGCTATTGCCAACGAGTTACCATTAAAAACCGCTAGTTTTACGAGAGTTTGCATAGTTGGAAAAGTTTATCGCGCGCAAATGCCTTCTCAGCAAATATTACTGCCGGAATAAAAAGCAATAGGTCAAAGCAACTATGGATTGTAAGAGAAACATAATCACAAGAAAAACCGATAACATCAACATGTGCATAATGTTTGCTCAATTGTGAATTGTTTAATTAATTTTAAATTGTAAAAATTTGATGGATATCAAATTCATAAATATTGTAAAACCACGAATATTGAACTATTACATATAAATATTTGATATGAAACTTAATTGTAGATTTTTAATAGGATTAAATTGTTATCATACCGATAATTTGCATCATAAAATCTAGAGGAAATATGAATTTATAATTCAAAAATCTAACATATATAATAATAATTTTACTGAAATATATAATAATAAAGCTAATAAAAATAATTGAATATTTTATGTATATAGTATTTATTTAAGTTCCTAATATAATCTAATATTACAATACATTTTACTTTAATATTATTATTAAATATTTTATTATATGTTTCAATCGTAGCAAAATAAGATAATGGAAATCTCAAAAGGTATATTTTTATCAGTTTGAATCTTTCATCTTTTATAAGGTGAATTATCGTGTATTTATAACAAGATAAGAAGCTCTTTGTATCCGCAAAACAGCAACGAAAACGCAATAAATACTTTTGACAGGAAAAAAGATAAAGGAAAGACAGATATTTACTTGATGCGAAATGGGAAGGAATGAATTGATTCGTCCATCCGGGACGATATTTGATCGATTATCGAAATAATGAACGTCAGTTTTCACGACATATATATATGTGTGTGTGTGTGTGTGTGTGTTGTGTGAAGAGTCCATTGCTGTATTCATTGCTGAGAAAATTGCGGTGGGCTATTAATATGGTTGCGTGCGCTTTTTTCTGTTACAGGTCTCGTGAATGAACGCGAGATGGACGTCTGAATCGAAGCCGTCATGGCCCCGTTTCTATTGATCCTGCCATTGCTGGCATCGCTGCGCTACCTGATACAGCCAATCGGTAAGCGATGCTCCTCTTCAACATCCGCTCGCCGGAAAAATGCAATGGTATCGCGAAAAAGCGAGCGCATCGTGCAGCTTAAATCCCTCGTTTTCAGAAATGCTCTTAGGAAATCCCGCATTTAGTCGACTTGAGTCGGTAATCAATTGACACATTAAATAAATTATCGTGATTAATGATCGTTCTTTCTCGCATTGCTCGAGCCAATAATAAGACTAAGATAGATGAATCGTTTTAAAACTTACAAATACGTGTAAAATGTTCTTTAAATGTTTTTTAAAATTACTACAATTACGATAAGAATTTCCAACAACAATACATTACCTACTATTAAATTCATTATGTCATTATACCTAATTTGAGTTATTTTTATCATTCCTAAAGATCGTCACTTAATATATCATTAATTTAAAAAAGAATGGAATTAAACAAAATTTAATTAAAAAATGTTATTAAAAATTAAATTTGACTCAAAAATTTATTATTTACTGAGTGCATACGTTAATAGAACGATGAAATTAATTGTAAGCAATTCAACCGCAGAAGTAGATTGATTAGATGTGATTTTTAATCATATGTTTTGTATTACATATAATACATTTTAACACACTTGGAATTTAAAAATAATAAAATATCCTTTAACTTAAAGAATTAGTTTAAATTTGTTAATATTTAACAGCGTAAAGTGTCAATAATAATCTTTCTAATTGGTATACATAATTACTTATAAAAAATATTTATTGGTATATATAATTACCTATAAATAAATATCTATAGAAAGTTTTTTGCGATATATGTATTTCTCATTTTTTTTAAACATATTTAGTTATCTATAAGAATAAACGTAGTTTTGCTCGAATGATTCGAGAATATTCTCTAACAATCTTCTATTTACGGATAGTTATATTACTACTTATGTATGTAATAACGCTAAGAGTATTAATGGAGAATGTGAATGATATCAAACGAGCTTTGATAACTATCGAGATGCTTCCGATAAAGGACTTATGTTAGGCAACTCCTCTCGTATTCGTGGAAGCCGAACGGAACTCCGTTGTTTCCCATCCACGATTTATGGTTTTCGTGCACTAACGAGTTCCTCTCTCATGTGATAAGAATCGTCTCGATAACGGTTAATAGCTAGAACAAGAAGCAAAGGGAAAGAAGAAAGAAAGAAGATAAACGGGAATAAGAAAAAACTGCAGATATCGACAGTCATATTATTATATCTTCCACTTTATCACTACTCAAAAATAATTGATATATCAATTGATTTCTGATAACAGTTAATGAGAAAAGAGAAAAACAAATACAAATTTGCGTAAATTACTAGCGGAATAAATATATGTGAATGTTAGAGAATTTTATTGTCAGAATTTTTAAACTTAATATTTAAATTCTCTCTGCTTTGTTTCACATTATTAATTGTGCCATATTTATTCAAAGAAAATTTGATAAGGTATATGAAATATCTTTTTATTAATAAAAATACAACAATGAAAGTAGAGATATAAAAAAATTTTTAAGGTATATATTTTATACAATTCGCGCACACATAATAGATTTTTTAAACATTTCGATTTGATGTTGAAATATTAAAAAGCTGGTTAAAATTCTTATTGATGCATTACAAATTAATCTCCGCATATATTATACTTTCATGAGTTCCACGCTCAAATCCAATACATCAAAAGCAAAATTTTCACGAATATAACCGAAGTTGAATTATAAACTGTAAAGACGTCAGTTCTATTAATTTTATCATTCTTTATACATCTCACAGTTCATTGAGCGCAAATGAAAACGGAAATACTGAATGACGCTGCAACTTGCGTATTACATTCTCTCGCTTATATTAACACGGATTTATCGTCTCGTACAAATTTAGAACGAAACTTTAGCGCACCTTAACGTACATTTTCGTGAATACACCGTGTATGAAAACCGCAACGAAAACAAACGCTTTTACCCGCAAGGCGTTGGTAGTTAATTTACGGTGCGAAGATCCTGATGGTTGCATAAGATAGAGATACAAATCTTAGAATATACCGGGGTCATTTGGCCAACGAAAATGACAGAGTACCAGTCAAATAATATTATCGTTAAAGATATTAGCATGATAGCATCATATTAAATGTATATTTATCATGATAACATCTTTCACGATAATAGGATATTTCAATTAAACTTTGTAATAAATTTTTATGCCATTATCACAGAATTCTGCGTATCATTATTGCAACATGTTAATATCGCTTCTTTACTTCAAAAGTGACAAATGAAGAAATATGATTTTCAAGTTATTACTATAATAAATGAGTTAGATAAAGATTACTGTATCAATCAAAACTAAATTAACTTAACTTCACAGTCTGCCATATAATAATACTTTACTTGTCGTTCTTAAGACTTTCAAAGAATTCATAATGTACCTTTTACAAGAGTGACACATTTTCAGTTGTCTTTTTTTTTAAGTAAATGGAAGTTTTTACAAAAAAACATTAGAATTAAGATTTTGATAATTAAAATTTGAAAAAAATTGTTTTAATTCGAATTTAGTTCATTTTAGCTGATCAAGGTAAATATAAATTGTTGATAATATTTCGAGTTATGTCACTTTTGATGAATTATTCCGGATTTGTCATAATTTTGTAGCATATCAAAATTGTTATGACTCAAAAAAATATATTTTTAAGGGCTGTGAACAAAAATGACATTTATGACATTTGTATTTCTAAGAGTACATTCTTTTTGTTTACATTATTTAACTAATCAATAATTTTCTATTAAATTGCTAGTCTTCCTCCTTTCTTGAAAAACTTATTTTTTTGAGTTGTCAGTTTTAAAGTAAGAAAACAATATTATAATAGTGCAGATTTTAATATATGACAATATGTTCAATGTCAGGCCAGCAAGTCATAATTTTATGAATTCTGCTATCGAAAGATACACGGAAAAAATTTTGCTGAAATATCTGAAAATTTTGAAAATAATTTTATTAGATCCTCAAAATAATTATATAGGCCGCTCAAGGTTTGACCAGAAATATTGCAGAAAGTTTTTCTATAAGCAATTAGCTAAGTGTTTTACGTAATTATTTTGATGGTCCAACAAAATTATTTTCAGATCTACATTTAAATCAAACTTTTAAATACTTCAGCAAAACCGTCCTTTCTGTGAGTGTTCAATTATATTTTTCAAGTCCATTTCCAATATTCCGTGTCATTTATCACAGTATGAAGATAACATTCCACATCTTTCATTGAGAATGATAAGAAAAATTCTTTTATAACGTTGTATCGAATGTCCGGAACAAATCGATTCCCGATGGTACGCGAGAGACTTGAATTCGCACGCGTCAAAATGGTTCCAACGGGATGCAGCTGGACCTGGTTCTTACCATGATAATGCATGATGTTACGGCGCCGGGCGCGGCAGTAGCCAGGGAGAAATACGAGAGGAAGTAACGCAACTTATTGCATCCGCAGATGCGATCCCGCATGAAGGAAGAGTGGTCCGCGGGGGCGGATACGGTGCGATGGAACTGCAAAATTCCAGCACAGCATGCGCCTCATTTTAGACGTCGACGTCTAAATCGTAACGCCCCATGTGTATGGTACTCCTTGGGAACGTCTATTCTTTAGTAGGTCATATCCCTCGACTGCGTTTCTGAATCTTGCGATGGTTTGTTACAAGTTCGCATTACACGTACATCCTCAACTAGCCATATATAATAAATCGAGTGATCTGCATATCGCTTATATCACTCATGTTTTTCTATTCGTTGAACAATAGTTTTACACGAACAACTAACATGAGATCATCTAAAAATATGCATACAACATAGTCTTTTATTAACTATCGAAAGCAATGTCAAATTGACTAATAAAATCGTAGTACCACGAAATGAGAGAGAGAGAGAGAGAGAGATAGATAGATAGATAGAGAGAGAGAGAGAGAGAGAGAGAAAGAGAAAGCAAGAAGACATGAAAGGCATTATTTCCGACAAAACGGAAACAGTGGAAGCGTGCGCGAGTAAACGAAACTGTCGTTGTTTTAACTGCATAGCTAGTGCGGTAATGACGAGTAAACTTAGTTTGTAGTCAGCCCTACGAAACCGATTATATTCTACTGTTAGCTTCATTATTTATCAAAAGAATAGTAAATTATTATTCGATCTGATTCTCTAAAACACAAAAGTCACATTGTTTTGACGAAGATATTCATTCTCTAAGAAATCTTTTAATGAATTTTTTAATTTATATATATTTTAATATTATTTTATTTTATTATTTATTTCAATTATAAGGAATTGTTTGCCTTCAGCAAGAATTTTCGTAAGAATAAAACTAAAACGCATGGATGGTATTCGGCTTTTTCAAATTGTGAATTAGAATTTTATTAATATGAAAGGTTTTCACTCATAGAAATTTAATAGATACTAATCATTTTAATAATAGACACTAACCAATTTATTACTGAAAGACAGTAATTAATTATTTATTTGGAATATTAAAAGTACTAAACAATACTTTTAATGTATAAAGTAAATTATAAAATTAATTATTATTTTTCAATATTAATCACAGTATTAGATTTCTCTCTATGTAAAAATTTTTTTAATGGATTATAATTCTAAAACATTATTTTACTATAGTATTTCAATTATTGTTCTAAAACAATATTTATTAAAAATATATTATTTAACATTTTCAATTAATAAATTTGAAACCTCGATTACATCTTAATTATTCTATGACAAAACGGTGAAACTATTGTCAATTAAATTAACAAATTATCTCTAAGTAACTGCTACCACAACAATACGCTTCTTATGCATAGAAACTACTAGGATGGTTCATTACTGCAAAGTACGTAGTGGTTTCTTCCTTACAAATGGCTACAGTCGATAATGGGACTTGCACTGATTAAACAAAACCGCAAAGAACATTTCAGTCTCACAAAAAAAGTTTCAACGTACAAATTATTCGAATTTCTGA